ACCCCACACTTTGTTTTTACTATTTACTGTTTCTGGTTGTAATATTTCTACATCAGACAAAATTTGTTTCACATCTGTCACTACTTCATTAATATTTTTGACAATAGTCTATTCATAGTAGCATCACCATTCCCAGCATTGAAGTTGCTAATTTCTGACTCCTTTCTTCAATTTCCTGGGACATTTGAGATGTTATAAGCTAATTTCTCCCCTTATTAGAATGCTTGCCCTTGTTGAAATGTGTTCACATACACTGTTTTAAATGATAAGTGGCTGAATGCTTTCTATTATGCTTTGCTATACTTGACATGTCTCATTCAATGATAACTTGCAGCCAAGCCCACTGAAGTTGAGGATAATTCTGAAGTAGTTGTATCTGAAAGGAGAGGTTCTTCTGATGCAAGCTCTGGTGACTATGTAATTCCAAAGGTAAGCGTTGCTTTCCTTTAAATCATGAATATATTGTAGTGGCTAATTATTGTGCCTAATAGCACATCCCTTGTTCTGTCTTGAATTAGCGTATGTTCTTACGATGACGGAGTTTTAATACTTTTATCAACAATATCAGGAATGGAGAATCTTTGGTCACCAGATGTTGTTGATCTACAACTCCCCATTGAGCATACTGGCTTTGCTGCTGGGAATTGTTGTTCTGCAAAATCTGAAAGCTACAAGTTAATCCATCCCTTTTCTTTAATATCTGTTTAGGTGGGGGAATTAAATAGGAAATCTGTGTTCTGCATGTGCTATGTCGCACACTTTTCAATTTGTGAGGAATGGTTTTAATCTAGAACTCATTCTCCTATTAATACAGGTGACCATTTATATAATAATATCGCCATAATCTATGAAGTTGTTGCACTTTTTAATACTTGCTATATTTTGCTTTTAAGATAGCTCACATTAACATTAGCAAGAAGAAGAAAAAATTCTGCTCCATCCCTGCTCTATCATGTACATAATAGCAACCTGAATTGATAAACTCATTACAATTGGCAACATGTTTAATGTTCCTCAAATTAGAGTATATGATTAAGAATTTGAGTTAGGATTGCTATCAGAACATGGGTCTGTTGTTCGATGATACTATAGCTTTTGTGAAACTAGTGTTCCTTTGCTTATTATAACAATTTCTAGTTGTTACAATTTATACATTTTAGTATTTCTGTGAACTCTTCAATTCTTTAATGAATCATCTAACATAAAAGTAAAAAAAAAAAAATGCCATCATTCTCTCCACTATTCCGATTCACTGATCCAGAAACTGTGAAGGGTAGTTGCTAGAGAAATAGTGCATATTATCTAAACTGAATCTGTTTATAATATATTCTCATTTAAACATGTAGACTTTATCCCCTCTTCTGTTCATTTTTAAAATGTTGATTAATTCAAGTTTGTCTATGTTTTATTTTAAGCTAGATTGCTTTCTTTCTTTACGTAGTTCTTTTTTGTAATTCCTATGAAAATGGTTTTATATACTAATTCAAACTGTTTCAGCAACACATTATAAAAATGTAATATATAGATTGATTTCTCTCTATTCTTAAGTGATAAATATTAAATTGTTGCCATTAAATGAGACATTTGCTATGCCAGCTTCAGGGCAATACATTAAAATTCCTTGAGTACAGTTACTTAAATGGCCTGACCTAGAATTTTGCTATACAAATCCTATAAGCAGCAGAAGTTCTAGTGTTGTGTCTCTTGTAATTCCCAGACAATAATACTTGAAAAAATGTACAAGGGCAGAAGAACTCCCTTCAGGAAATCCTTTTCTGCTGCCAGTAGTGGTGATGGTGATTGCATAGCTACGAGGAGCATATCTTTGAATGTAGTACAAGTAGTTCGCATTTAGTGACTTTCATTTAGCAACCATTTACAGTTGTGATGATGAAAAAATAATTTTACAATGAATTATCTCATTTATGGCCTTCACATGTTGTAAAGCGAAGGAAAACTGAAGATCATAAACTGTTACAGTTTCACTGAGTGACTGCTTTGCTTAACAACCAAATTGCCAGTCCCTAAATAATTGTCACTAATTGAGGATAACCTGTAATGCACTTAGGGAGTGATTGAATGATCCAAATAGCCTTGGTTGCTCTCAAACAATTGACTGTTCAGAAGATAAGACCAAAGCATAAATTGTACCAAGGCCCAAAGGACAAGTTACCTAAACGTCAACATTCAAAAATACTTATTCTGTAAATATAAGCAATTTTCCTGTCTGGCTCAAGTTTTAGAATCAGTAGTTTTAAGATTGAAAAAATATATGTCCATTTTATGTTGTATGTATAGAACCTCTAATTGCACTTTTGGTGCTGTGTTAAAAAAATTAAGGCATTCAACTGTAAATAATTTATTTGATAATTAATAGTTACAAAACTTAAGAAATATTTTTTGTTTGTTTGCAGGGTGTGGAAAGTGAGGCTCCTGGTAAGTATCTCCCTACCCGCAAACGCTACCCCTTGCTTCTAAGCTTTTAAAAAGTTCTTCCCAACTTGAAGAATTATCACTGATTGAAAGCAAGAACTGTAGGGGAGGCTCAAAGAATAAATTTATTTAGACAGTCTGAAAAGAACTCTTAAAAGATTGGTGTTATCACATTGCAGTGCTGCCTGTCAGCTCTGTGGCCTCTTGGTCTTTTACTAGGTAAAAGAAAGAGATTTGGAGAAATGCAATAGGTTATTTGCACATTTTAAAATGTAGTATTGGAATCCTTTTTATAAAAAGGAACCATTAGGGAGTTTAATAAGCTATGTTTAAACTAATCCTGCAATAGCAGAATATATACCGTATATACTCGAGTATAGGCCGACCCGAATATAAGCCGAGGCACCTAATTTTACCACAAAAAACTGGAAAAGTTATTGACTCGAGTATAAGCCTAGGGTGGGAAATGCAGCAGCTACCGGTAAATTTCAAAAAAAATAATAATAGATAC